GCAGCACAATAGCATGGTTCTCCTGTTGAAATTGTTTATAGCTTCTATATATCTGTTCTTCCTATGACCAGATAAATATAAGAAAGTAACAATGTGGAATGCTCTTTACGTTAATCTTTGAAAAACAAAAACTAACCTGTATTTTTTCTGGACATGCGTGTATACTGATTTGAGATATTTTCTCCTAGTGAGAAAAATGCATTTATGAAGCTTAAATCTTATAGTCATTCTTTTTGGAATCATGTCGGCTTGGATTCTCTTTTGTAATAAATTGACTTTTTTATATATGGTAACTTTTTAAAATATTGTCCTATTTTTTTTCATTAGCTTGCTATTTTTTCTTGACAACAGTCTTCTTCTGGGCTTTTTCAGTTTTGATTTACACTAAGATTTTATGACCCATTTATACTACAAGATATAAGTCCATGCGTTATTCTGAAAGTGTTCAGAACCCAATTCATCCTGGGTTATATTAAACTACTTTCCACCTGCCTTTCTTTCTTTTTTTTTTTTTCTTATTTTCCTCTTCTGACTAGGCCATATGTTGGCTGATTAAATATTTATATCAGACTTAAAATATTCTCTAGAAGATTAAGCTGAAAGTCTCATTATGAAGTCTGCTGAGATAAACTCTTACCTATCATATTTGTTCCAAAGAATTAATTTGTAAACCCTGCGTTGCCATTGACTACCACTGCCACCTGCTGCTGGCCATAAATAAAAGTACATGCTGGTAAAATGAGGCCCCTTGGCTAGTGTTTCCATCCTGGTTGTCTTGGACCTTTGGCTGCCTTGTGTGGAATATCCACAGTAGAACTGGACAAAGAACAAATTCTAGGTGTTTTTGGTTAGTGGCCGTGATTGAACTAGACAGACAACTGAGTAGAAGCCCCAACATTTTCTGCTTTCCAAGGTCATCCTGGAGAATCAAGGCAACTGTTTGTGGATGGGAACTGCCTTGTATTTACAGAAAGCTTTAAATGTTGAAACCCACTGGAGAAGCACTGACATTTAGGACCACAGCTTTGACATTCTGTATGTTGTATCCACAGAGTCCTAAGTGGCAGTTATTAGTGTTTGTGGTGCATGAACCCCTTTGTCAGTCTAGAAGAGAATATGGAATATGGATTTTGAGAATATGGTTTTGAATGCTTAAATAAATATAAAGGGTTACAAAGACCAATTATACTGAAAGTAGTTATCAAACTTTTTAAAGTTGTATATGGCAACCTATGTGCTCTTTTACTAATTAACATCTTAATAAGATTAAATAGCAAGTCTAGAGAGTCAATTATGGAGTAGTTATGGCTGTAAAGGTTATTTTGAGATGTCTGCAAGACTTGTAATATGGTATAAAAAGTATTGTTTCTGTTAATGACAAAGTTTCTGGTCTTGCTACTACTACTAGAGTATATTACCTACACTTCTAGCTGAAAGAACCTTTACATTTCAATGGAAGATAATGATAACAAAGATGATTTTTTTTTCTCTCAAGTTAACAGGCTTCCAAGAATCAATAAGCCCTAGGTTCAGAATGCTTGGTCTAGTTTAGAACTATTACTCAGAGCTAATGTCTGCTGGCTGTGCCTTATGTATAAAGCACTTCAGTAAAGTGGTCATATTTAAGCTTGGACCACCAGTTGACAGCTATTGTTCCATTCTAAAGATGAGCACCCTTTTTTCAGGGTCACTCATTTAGGTTGGGGGTGGAGCTGGGACTCAATCCTTGGCTCTGGAAATTTTTTTGCTATGTTGTTGTGCCTAAGTTGAGGTAAGCCTGAGTGTGATGTCTTGTTTCTGTACTAATAGGGCATTTCTTGTTTGCCCAACTTTGCCTATGTGAAAACAAAATACTTCCTCAATGTAGCTGAGAGCGTAATGAGACCAGCATGCCTTCATGCTCTGCTGGTAGGTGTGTAAATTGCTTCATGTTTTATTGACAGCATGACTACACACATTAAGACCTTAAACTTTTTCCAATACTTTCACCTCCATCTTTAGGAAAAGACCACAGTGAAAAGATGCCATATGCAAAGATATTCATCGCAAAATTCAAGTTATATGCTACTACAGGGCCTCTTGTTCTTGCTTGCTTTTTCTACTCTAGGCTGGCACGCTACCACTTGAGCCACACCTCTATTTTCTAAAATTTCAAATCTAACTGTGGACAGCAATAAGAGAATGGTTAAGTACATATATTTATTAGATGGTATATCAGACAGGCATTAAAATATGGCATTTAAGACTATATAATTCAACTTTTATAATGAGTGCTTATGAAAAACACCTGCTACCTGGTGTTGATATTCTGAAAACTTTACTTCCTAACCCTGAGAATGCCAGAGACCATTGGCTTTTACTCTTCCCCCTGACCTCACTATTGCCAAATCGTGCTTTTGGAAATATTTTGAGAGTGTTTAGAATCATGGCTTCCATATTAATGTGACTAGAACACTGGTTCTAATGCCTCTTTATGGAGGAAACTAAGCTGCCTTTGTTAAGTTGTTTTAATGAGCTGGATTCTTGAGATGTTTCTATTTATAAATGTAACAATTAGAAATAGCTGATCCTAGTTCACTATTGAACATGTGTTATGCTAATCATTGTTTTTCTTTTTAATTTCTGGTTTCTCCATCAACAAAAAACTGAATGCGTCCCATCATTTGAAGATGTTTGGACCTATTCTTCCTCTTTGTAAGAACAAAATTACATGGGCTGGGAATGTGGCTTAGTGGTAGAGTGCTTGCCTAGCATGCATGAAGCCCTGGGTTCAATTCCTCAGTACCACATACACAGAAAAAGCCAGAAGTGGTACTGTGCTAGTCATGAGCAAAAGAAGCTCAGTTCAAGCCCCAGAACTGGCCAAAAAATAAAAATAAAAAGAACAAAATTACTGCACTTAAAAGCTTGTGCTTTCATTTGGAGTTGATGACTTGCTTTTTAAACTGTAGCCATTAGTCCCAATTTTTTTTCGGTCAAATTTCTTCAAAGTTTTGTACAGTTTTCTGAAAGATATTTCTCCAAGGAATTATTTTTTACCTTCTTCAGTCTCCAGATTCTGTTCTTTCCTTAGTCCTGTTTATTAAACTCACTCAGCTGGTTTCTGGGTTCATGCATTTCCTCTCTTCCTCCTCATTCTTCTGTGGTCTCCTATCTTCAGGGAAGCCTTCATCCATCTCTGCTGCTGCATGAATCAATTGAAGCATATATCATGCTTGCCAAAAACCATGTTTTCACAGCTTTGGATTTGAGTACACTCTTTTGCTATTTGGGAAGACAATGTTTGCTAAAGGAACAATTTAAATGAGATTTTAGCAGAAATATTTGTTTACAGTTTTAAGACATAACAATTCTATACAAATAGGTTTAACTGTAGACACCTTCAATTTAGCTATCTGTTCTAGAGACATAGTTGCAGTGTTTATAAATGCATTTGTTTTTTGTTTTTGTCGGTCATGGGGCTTGAACTCTGGGCCTGGGCGCTGTCCCTGCGCTCTTCAGCTCAAGGCAAGCACTCTACCACTTGAGCCACAGCGCCACTTCTGGTTTTCTAGTGGTTTATTGGAGATAAGAGTCTCACAGACTTTCTTGCCTGGGCTGGCTTTGAACCATGATCCTCAGATCTCAGCCTCCTGAGTAGCTAGGATTACAGGCATGAGCCACTGGGGCCCGGCAATGCATTTGTTTTAAGTATGTGTGCACACATTGATGTGATACTTGCAAAAGAAAGTATTTTAAAGAAAAAAAGTGTGTGATTTTTACTTTTAAATCAGTTAGGAGATGAAAGGCGAAAGATTGAAATCATACTGTCTTTTATAATTGTCTATGTCCCTACCTTTATTAGCATTCTTTATTTTTATCATGTATATTAAAATTCCTGTCTGATATTACTTGCTTTCAGCCTGAAATACTTAAGTGTTTTTATAAGATAACTGCTATCATAAAGTTATCTCCATTTTGGTTAACCTGAAAACATTTTTATTTTTACCTGCCTTTGTTTTATTTGAAAGATAGTTTGGGTGGGTAGGTTGATTTCTTTTTCCTTTTGTAGTGCTAGGGATAGATCATAATGCCTGGTGAATGCTAGGCATCTAAGCTATCTATATTCAGACTGGCCCCACACTTGAGAGATCCTCCTGCCTTAACTTCACGAGTACTGGGATTAAAGGGATACTCCTCTTCACCCAGTGCACTTGGTTGACTTTTTTTCAGCACTTCGAATATGTTATCCCGTGGCTTTTATTATTTTTGATGAGAAGTTAGATGTTGCTTTTTTTTTTTAATAGGAAGAGATTCATCCCCAGCACTGAAAAATCTTCTAAGATGAATCATATTTACTAGTGTATGTTTCCTACAAAACAGTTTTTTGTGTGCTAGTATGGGGGGGCCTCATGCTCTCATTTCCCTATTTCACTCATGGCTGGTACTCTACCTCTTGAGCAATACTTCCACTTTCAGATTTTTGCCGGTTACTTGGAGATAAGAGTCTCTCAGATTTTTCTGCCTGAGCTGGCAGATCTTAGCCTCCCAAGTAGCTGGGATTATAGGTGTGATCACCTATAATCAGAAGAATTTATTAAAAATTTTTACTCATTCATCTGTATTAAATTATCAAGTAATATAGTTTTTATCTATACTGAAATTAAAAACAACATGCCCCATTGTAACCTTTGGTTATCAAGGGGTTTAACTTCCCTTTGGTGTAAGTGTATTAAAAATTGTTGTGATTGCTGAGACTTAAATCTCTGACACTTTTGCTAATGAAGTTCAGGGGCAAATACAGGTCAGTTCCGCATTTGAAGTCTTTTTTAAAAAAACTTATAATCTACGTGGTAATATTTGAAATTGAGTGTTTTTCTGTTTTGTGCCTAAGTGATTTGTAGTAATATTTCAGGTATCTTTTCCTTTCCTATCCCACCAGGTCCCACCTATCCAAAGCTATGGCTATGCTTCCACATCAATAATTTTTGAGAACATTTTTGTTTTTGTTTTTTTTCCAGGCATCTAGCGGAAATTATTATTTCATCCCCTACATCGTGACACCATGCGCGGATTATTTTTGCTGTGAAAGTGATGCCCAAAGACGAGCTTCAGAGTATATGCAGCCCAACTGGGACACCATCCTAGGTCCTTTGTACATGCCCCTGGTGGATAAGCTCGTTAGCCTCCTTAAGGACATCCACGTCACCTCATGGTAATTTCCATCAGACACTCATAGAACCTTGCAAAAATTTCCTTTCAGTTGCAGAGATGATCGGGATTCCCAGAGAATGGGGAGCATTGGCCAGTCCTTGAGAGAATCATCCTGGAATCTCTTTATTACTCCTTTGTTATCTCATCAAGCTGTCACTGAGGTCAAGCCAAAAGAGAATAGAACTGGAATTAGGGGCTCATAATTGGGCCTGTGTTTGGCTCTTATTCTTTTGTAACTTCCATATATAACTCTTCTTCTCTCTGTTTTCTCCCTTAAAAACCAAGGAAGTTAAGTTAGTAATTGTTTTTAATGACATCTTTCAACTCTGAGATTTCAAGTTTCAAGATCATGTCTGACCATGTATACTCCTTCAATTACTGAGGTTCTAAAATGTCAGAGTAAGATCATTCTGACCTTACATTCTTGTGCTATGAGAACTTGTGTGCATTGAGTCAAGCTGCCACTATTCTCACCTCAGGATGTCCTGTAATGTGTTCTCTTTACGTTTATATCAGAGGTGGTATGAAATATTCCAAGGTAGATAGGTTTGAATGTGGATCCTAACGTTGATGATTCCTAGCTGGGCAGCCTTAGAAAAGTCATTTCCCTCTTTGTGCCTCAGTGTTTCAGATTCCATACCTTCAATATCCTTATTCTGAAAGTTAAAGGCAGAAAAGTTATTCTCTGTAACCAAAGGATCCCATCATTGTGTTTGCAGTGAATTTAAGGGATTTACTCCCTGTAAATTTATCACAAGGATTTCTCCTTCCAAAACAAATGAAAATCCAAGGAACTGGCAGAATTGACATCTAATGAAATGTCAAGGACCTCATGTCATGCTTTGGCTCAAATCATGGCACCCTGAAACATGGAGGGTTGCTACTGAAGTATTGGCATGAGATTCACACTTGTTAACAGTCTGCTCTCTCTCTCTCTCTCTCTCTCTCTCTCTCTCTCTCTCTCTCTCTCTCTCTCTCTCTCTCTCTTTTTAATCCTTCCTCCTCTTCACTGGACGCAGACTTTTTTCTAGAGACCTTAATAGGAAAACAAAGACTGGAAACCTATACCTGTGTGACCACATGTCAGTGCAGAAAACAAAGGAGGGACTGTTTGGAGAATATTCCTGCCAAACTTTATTTGGTCACACCTTACTATTGTCTTACCACAAAACATTTTAGTAAAGTTGAGAGAAAAAGCTCTCCCAATACCATATTTTTGGGTCTGTTTGAATCTGCTGAAGACTTGGGTTTGAGTTCGTTTCTCCATCAGTATGATTGTGTATCAGGAGGAAAGTAACATTTTTAATATGGTTTAATTAACAAGGGGTGCTGCAAACACCTTGGTAGATTCTACCTCATGGGTGGCAGTGGCTACTGAGAAGAATGATCCGTATCTTTAAACATATTTACAACAGGAATGACATGTAAGATTTTAGTCCAGTGCCTACTGAACAGAAGTATAAAGTCTATCTTGATTCCAGTGCTAACAAGTACTTTGAAGCCATTTTCAAGTTCATATTGATTAGCACCATCTTTCCTGTTTACCAGAGGTAGAAATGGCTGCATGTGTGGGACACATCCGACGTCCCTAATCCATAATCAAGGCAGTGTTTTGTTTACTTAAAAATTTCTCTCATTGTATTTCCTTGTTTATTAAAACAATTTTTCAGAATCATCCTTGAAAATAAGACTAAAGTGTAGCCTTTTACTCATTAGGCTAAACTAACAGCACTTTAATAGCTCTGGTGCCTTTAAAGTCTGCCAAATGGGCAGGGGCTGCCACCCAACTTAACGACTCATTCAATTAATGACAGAATTTACAAACCTAGCAGAATGTGCTAATTTGCTTATTATTGCAATAATAGCAATTGGCAAATAAGGAAATAAAAATGAAAGCAATGGAAGACATGTACTGGTATTTCTTTTTCAGGACCATTTTGGTGGGATAGCACTTTATTCTTCCAATGTCAATTGAGGTCTTGTTATGAGCATTGGATCAGGTTATACTGTATGCATATTTATGTAGAATAGTTTTATAATTATTTAGAGTAAGTACTACTTATTCTATCTCATGTATTCTTTTTCTTCCTCTAGGTATAATTTTTACCCTCCTCCTTAAAAAAATTGAACAGCTTAATTTTACTCTCTATAGTTAGTTCATTTCAGCTTCTTGATGAGTTAACAGTATTACCACTTAGCAATGCCTTAACACTATTTAAAATTACTTGCAAAAATCCACTCAAGGTCTTTGTAAGAGAACCTCTATGTTACCAAAATAAGTCATTTTTAAGGTTTAAACTAAGTACCAAATATTAGTGCTGGCTTTGTGAGAGGTTGTGGTGATATTCCACAGTGAATTTAAGCTATTTCAAGTAGTTTTACATATCCTCCGTATTATCTAACTGCCCACATAAGAAATAATTTGTATTTATTTATTTATGCACGCTGGTCCTGGGTTTGAACTCTGGGCCTGGGTGATGTCTCTAAGCTTCTTTTGCTCATTTAAGCTATAGCACCACTTCTGAATTTTTCTGTGATTAATTGGAGATAAAAGTCTTATGAACTTTCCTGCCCAGGCTGACTTGGAAACATGGTCCTCAGATCTCAGCCTCCTGATTAGCTGGGATTACAGGTGTGAGCTACCAGCACCTGGCTGTATTTTATCTTATAAAAGCATTCTGTATCTTGGAGTTCATTTTGATCAGCATCATTTCTTTATGTTTTTTATTGTAAAAATAAAGTACAGAGGGCTTACAGTTACATGAGTAAGGTAATGAGTACATTTCCTATTGAGCATTGTTACCTCCTCCTTTGTTTTTCTCCTACCATCCCTTCCCTCCCTACCTCTCCAACTCCCCCCTCCACCCCCAAGCTGTAAAGTACATTTTCTACATAGTGTCTTGTATATCTCATTGTTACAATGGGTTGTCCTGTATTCTTGTTTCAGCATTTTGTTATTTCCCTTCCCCTCCCCAAATTAGAAAAATGTGTATACAAGATGATCAGCATCATTTTATAATAGGTCGTATGTACATAGCTATTGAGCTATTGTGATCCTGTGTTAGGACTATCCTAGACATATACTAATTATTACAAATGAGGGAAACCATGGAACCTATGTTTCTTTGAGTCTGGCTTTACTTCTCTTATTATGATTTTTTTCAAGAGGTTTTTATTTTTAATATACTGTGTGATTCTATTTCTTTTTTCCCTTTGGTTTATCTTCTGTTGTCACTGTTTTTCATTTTGGTACCCTGTGTCTTGTATGTATGTTTATCTGATTTGGGGAAGGGAAGGGGGATAACAAAATGATGAGACAAAGGACAAAGGGTGAACCAATGCAACAGCTATACTCACAGGACACTATGTTGGAAATGAACTTTACAACTTGGGTGGGAGGGGACTTTGGGGGAGGGAAAGTGGGAGAAAATGAGTGGGGGTAACAGTGTTCAACAAGAAATGTATTCATTACCTTACTTATGTAACTGTAACCCCTCTGTACATCACCATTACAATAAAATAAAATAAGAATATATAATATATACCTAATATATATCTTGTAAAATGCACATGCATGCTCATTGTTTTCTTGCTGTATAATATAAACTACCTATATTAATATTAACATACAAATAATAAATATATTTATAATACTTAAAAAGTACATTCTGGCAGCTAAATATGAGGACAGCAAAAGGATAAAAGGCAAGATTGTCTCTAAATTTCTCAGCCTGGCTTCTGTGCATCCCACTTTCGATTGCTCAGAAATGCACCAGTATCCAACTCTCTTTTAACTGGGGATAGCTTCATGATTACTATATTGGAACTCTTTATAGACAAGAATGATTTAAAGATGAACTTATCTGTGTTTCAAAGCTTTGGCATTTTATTTGACATTGGGATAATCTGTTCTAGTGTGTAAAATATATATTGAAGTATGATATCTTCTTGCTTAAAAATGCTAGAAGATGTAAGTTTGATTGGGTAGTAGAAAGTCCTGAATGCCATCTGTATAGTTTACCTCTGAAAATATTTAACAAATAAACAAACTGACTTTCATTTGTTATCATTTTCCAGTCCATTTTTGTAGTATGTGAACAAGAAGTCAAAGTGTCCCACATTGCTGGTATAGGGAGGTTTAGGTCTGGTCGTGATTTCTATGTGTTAGCTTAAGTCATGTCAATGAGAACCATCTGTGCTTGAGCACTAAAGAAGATTCCTGCATGCATTATATATACGTATATAATCATATATACATATATGATTAGAGATGTTTGTGTTTCCCTTTCCAGTGTTTATTACAAAGAAACTTTATTAAATGACATCCGGAGAGCCAGAGAGAAATACCAGGGTGAAGAACTGGCAAGGGAGCTGGCACGGATTAAACTTCGCATGGATAACATTGAGGTTCTGACCTCAGACATCATCATTAACTTACTCCTGTCTTACCGTGATATCCAGGTATGAAATGTGCCTACTTGAGGCTGGTGTATAATAAAAAGTTTTCCTTGGCATAAGGAACTTGTCATATGAAGTAATTATTATTATTATTACTATTGTTGTTGTCTTTAAGTAGTTGTACAAAGGAGTTTCAAGTTAGCCTGTCAATTTAAGAGTATAATGCATCTTGATCAATGCCATCCCTTCTATCATTCTCAAACTCATACATGAGATGTATTATGAGGAAAGTGTTTTATTTATTTTATTTTATAATGCCAGCTTGAAATTAAGACCTAGGCACAGTCCCTGAGCTTTTGTGCTCAAGGTTAGTGCTCTACCACCTGAGCCACGGTCCACACTTCCGGCTTTTGGTTGTTAATTGGGGAAAAGAGTCTCACAGATTTTCCTGCTCTGGCTGGTATCAAATGGCAATCTTCAGATTTCAGTTTCCTAAGTGGCTAGGATTACAGGTGTGAACCATTGGCAGTGGGCTTGGTAGGTGTTTTATATAAATAGGTATGTAGTCTGGTCACAGACCATCTAGTTTATCTGCTTTGGAAGTTTTGGTAAGATTCTATCATAGTAGGAACAGGAGTGAGCACTCCAAGAAGGAATACATATACAGGTCTGGTAAGAATAAGGAACTAATAATGTAATTAGTATGCACACGCACGCGAGCGCGCACACACACACACACACACACACACACACACACACACACACACACACACACACACACACACACACACACACACACACACACACACACACACACACACACACACACACACACACACACACACACACACTTTATGTTAGGCTTTGTTCCAAGCTTTTTTGTTGTTGTTGGTTGTGAGGCTTGAAACTCAGAGCCTGGGAGCTGGCCCTGAGCCTCTTTGTGCTCAAGGCTAGTGTTCTGTCACTTGGGCCACAGCACTCCTTCCGTTTTTTTGTTTGTTTGTTTGTTTTTGCATGATTTATTGGAGATAAGAGTCTCACAGGGACTTTTCTCCCTGGGCTGTCTTCCAACCAAGATCTTCAGATCTCAGCCTCCTGAGTAGCTAGGTGTGAGCCATCAATGCCCTGCTTTTGCAAATCTTAATTCATTTAGTACTCTTACCAACTCTATAGTGTAAGAGTACCCTATCCTCATCTTACAAATAAGGAAAGCTAGGCACAGAGAACTTAATAACGTGCCCAAATCAGAGCAAATTAGTGAAGTCCTGATTCATATTGAGGGTGACTGGCTTTGTGGTCTGTCTTCTTAACTCTTCTGCTACTTCCTTTAGGCCTTTGTCACTTCCTTCTCTGTTTACCAACATTCATCAATAACAGAGTAAGAGTAGCAGATACATGTCCAGGACAAAGGGATGAAGTTTTTTATTCTAAAACAAGCTTCAAAAGCTACTGGAGAATTCTTGAGACATGGCTATGGGATCATAAAGGACATGGAACATTTCTCTTCAAAGTTTAATGACATTGAACCATTTTTACATGTATTTTGCCTTCCTTCAGGAGGCACAGAAGGTAATGTATCTTATAAAATCCTATAAAGCTACATTGGATGTTGCTAATCATAGTTCTTTAAATCTAAATGGTAGAAGCTGAGCATCAGTGGCTCATACCTATAATTCTAGCTACTCAGGAGGCTGGGATCTGAGGACCATGGTTCAAAGCCAGCCTGGGCAGAAGATTCTGTGAGACTATTTCTAACTTACCAGTAAGAAAAGCAGAACTAGAGATGTGGCTCAACTAGAGATGTAGAGTACCAGCTGTGAGCAAAAAGGCCAAATAAGAGAACAAGGTCCTGAGTTCCAATTCTCATAATAGCATTTATTAATAAATCAAAACGCTAGAGGCATCCATTTATAACCTGACCAAAAACCAGAGGCAAATAAGCAGGGTCTTATGCTCCTAGGGACCAACAGATGTATTTTAATAACAGTTGCTTTTAGGGATTATGATAATGATTGCAGCATGCACCATTTGACAAGACAATTGGATTGCCCTTTCTTGAAGCCTTTCTTCCCTTGAGCTTCTTCCTATCCTTTTCTTTATGCATTGTTTCCTTTTCTTTAGGCAATTCTGAGTGCTTGTCTAATAAGCCTTTTGGCTTTAGTTATTTTTCAAATAGGATCTCACATTTTCCCCCAGGTCTGCTTCATACTATGTTCTTCCTATCTCTGCCTCCAAGTAACTGATATTCCAGATGTGAACCATTATGCCCAGCCCCTTCATTTTTTACCCTTTTGTTGATGGGACTCTAAGTTCAAAGAAGGAGCTGGGGGGGAATCCTGGGATATACTGATTTCTCTTTCTTGGGGCAGCAGCATCAAGGTTCAGAACCATAAAGTATGTGCAGGATTTCACTAGGAGCCCCTCCTCTACTATGGCTGACAGCTAGTTGGCCAATATCAGAAATTCTACTAGTACCATGACTGCATTTGTTCATCCTTTCTTTTGTACCCCTCTTTGCCACCTCAAAAGACAGATTAAAAAAAGAACCCCAAAGCAAAAACAAACAACACCATATCCACCACCACCAACAACAACAACAAAACTCATTTTTTTCCATTTCCTGGATTCATTTTGATGAATAAAATAGTATTTCAAATGTTCAGAGGCATTACAATGTGTTTGAGTTCTTCTCCTAAGAGTATCCTCCTTTAGTCTCAGATGTTTGTATGTGAATGCCTATAGTCCTTTATAAATTATCATGTCCCAGAGTATTTGAGATATAGCTTCCACATATGAGAGAAAACAATTGCCATTTGTTTCTCTGAACTTGGTTTATCTCACTTAACATGATGTTCTAGGTCTATCCATTTCTCTGAAAATGACAATACTATTCTTTCTGATGGCTATGTAAAATTCCATTGTGTATAGGTACCACATTTTATTGGATCCACTCATCTATTGTAGGACATCTGGGCTGTTGCCATAACTTGACTGTTGTGAATAGTTCAGCAGTGAACATGGATCTGAAAGTGTCTTTATGACATCCTGGCTTGTGATGTTCTAGGAAGATGCCCAGGAGTAATACCAGCAATTCTAAACCCTGCTGAGAGTGTAACTGGTAGCATAACTAAAAGGATTTAGCCAAGATACACACTGTAGCATTTGGTTACTATGTAGCATTTGGAGTAATGGTTCTCAGCCTGAGGCTTTTGGTTGCATTTGGAGACACTTTGGTTGTCAAAACTGTGCGTAGGCTAGCACTAGTAGCTTACACCTGTAATCCATGCTACTTAGGAGGCTGAGATCTGAGGATTACAATGTGAATTTAGCTTGTACTCGAAAGTCTGTGAGAGTCTTATCTCCAATTAACTGCCTAAATGCCAGGAACTGTGGCTCAAGTGTTAGGATACTAGCTTGGAGTGAAAAATGTATGAGACAGTACCCAGGCCCTGAGTTCAAGCATCATTACAGCTCAAAAAAGGCTCATCTTTCATTTTGGAGATTGTCTTATATTTATAGCTATTTGGACAAATGTGTGAGAGCTTCATTTCTTCTCTTTCTTACTCTGAGACTTTGTGCCAACAGGACTATGATGCCATGGTCAAACTGGTAGAAACACTGGAGATGTTACCTACGTGTGATTTGGCTGATCAGCATAATATTAAGTTCCACTATGCATTTGCACTGAATAGGTAAGAATGATTATGTATAGGGTCTTGAAACATACCACCTGTTGGATTCTGCTTTCTTCTTATGTTCAGCATTCAATAACTATGAGCCAGGTCATATGCTAAATGTCATGTTTATAAAGGTGGGCAAGGAACATTCTGTCCTCCAGGAGTTAGTCTTTAGAACATATATTCTAGCTGTGAGATCAAACACAAAAAATAAGTTTTTTTTACATGTACTTATGAGCATCAATTAGTTGTACAAGGAGATTTCTTCTGACAGTCCATGCATACATGCAGTATATCTTGATCAGACTCACCCACTCTATCACTTGGTCTTTATTCACAGAGGCAATGTATTTCAGTATTGTTTACCCTCTAACATCCTCTCCCTTGAATTCAATCCCCTCAAATGGTCCCACAATGTTCCATATATATGTAGACATAATATTGACAGACACATAAATGAATTCTAATAGCTCAGGATAATAAATGATTTAATGAAGCTTTGTCCAAAATGATACAGAAGTATAGCAGAGGGGAGTTATTCTGCTCAGGGTGTTAGATGGATTCAGAATATTAGTAAGAATTGCATCATGAATGGGATAAGGTAAGGTGGGAAGATGATGTGAGAAAGTACCTTTGTGTCCAGTACATTCAGGGAACATGCTGTGCAACTAGAACACAAGATACAGGTGAAGCAAATCCAGTCAAAGAGGCTAAGCATGGAGAATTAGTATCATGTCTTGAAAGAATTTTGTACAAACAAAGAATCCTTGGACAAACAAGGAATTGATAGTTTCTTCTAGATTGTGGAGAACTGATTTAAGCAATAAGATCATCATTGTATGATAAGGAAAGAGAGTGGTGTCTTTATAGACTAGTATAATTTGAATTTGGGAATTCAACGCAATTGGATAAGCACACTGATTGAAGATTGGAAATTCCTGCCTGGAGACTACAAGCCTCAGAAGTGGAGCCAGGCACCTGTGGCTTATACTTGTAATCCTAGCTACTCAGGAGGCTGAGCTGTGAGGATCACAGTTCAAAGCCAACCCCGGGCAGGAACGTCCTTGAGACTCTCATCTCTAATTGACCACCAGAAAACAAAGTGGTGCTGTGGCTCAAGTGGTAGAATGCTAGCCTTGAGCTGAAGAGCTCAGGGACAGCGCCCAAGCCCAGGGTTCAAGCCCCAGGACTGACAAAAACAAAAAAACAAAACCCTTAAGTGGTAGGGGCATTATTAACTAAGGTGATATCACAACTTATAAATGCAATGATTTCAATAAGATTGAAAATTCTCTTTTGTCTAACATGTTAAGTAGCACAATACTGCTGTAAGAATTGTTTTGGGACTTAATATTCTGCTGAAGCTTTTTTGTCCACTAGAGTGATGACCTCATCTTCATAGTTGAGGCTGGGTCACTGCTACTCTGTGTCTCAGCCTATGAGACAGGGGTCAGGGGTGGGGAGGAAGAAGAGGACAAATGATTTTCTTTAAAGCAAGTTACCACTTCCTTGACTTTAGCATCATATTCATGGGAATCATATATGCTGTTGTGTGTATCAGTAGTTCATTTTCATTGCTTTAGTGTATTCTAGTGTATGGATATGCCACAATTCATCTAGTTGTTTTATTGATGATGGACATTTACATTGTTTCCAGTTTGCAGATAAGAATGTTTCTATGAACATTGTTGTACATATGTTTTGTACATATATGTCCATACATTTCTGTTGGATGTATAATATATGTGTACATAGTAGATATCACTAATCAATGATAGGATTTTGATTCATTTAGGGGATGAGGCTTCATAGTCTCTGAAAATGTGTGTAGTCTTCCCTACTTGCCTCTAAACTCAGCTTCCTAAGATGGGGCATGTTTTCAAGAATAAAGGCCAATTTTTTAAAAATAATATTTTATTGAGATTAAATGATTACATAAATTTCACAGTATTGTGGGATAGTGATACTTATTTAAAGTCACAAACACATCTTAACCTTCACAAGGCAAATTGTCATTATCATGGTCTATAGAGGTTAAATTCTATAAACTTTGACAATGCAACTATTTCTTCCACAATAGGTGATATATACATTTCTTTCCTTTTGCTTAGTGTAAGCTGTTTCCTCTTTCCCTCTCATTCCCTCCCCCCTATCAATGTCCTTGAGTTGCTTAGTTCGTTTTCATCAATGTCCAGTGCAGCTGATGGGCCCTCTGTTGTATTTTCCCCCTGTTTCCCTCTGATTCTGTGCCCTCCTCCTAGCTTCTCTCAGATGTGTGCATGTATATACCATATATGAGGCCAAGAACATGGAGTCATCTAGCAATGATATGACAAATAATGTAGAGGTCCTTTGTTTCTAGAGTCCTGTTTACTTTGTCATATCTCCTTGCATTTTGAATTTAACATCCACATATCTGAGAGACCATGTGCCATTTGTTTCTCTGATCTTGGCTTACCTCGCTCAACATGATTTGTTCTAGTTCCATCCATTTCCCTGCAAATGTCATTATTTTGTCATAAAGGCCAATATTTAAGTAGCCTTAAAAAGTATTATAACACTGATCCTCAAGCCTACTGGGCTCCATTTTTAGTTATGTATTTGATTGATTGGGTTTTTCTTCAGTGGTAGAAAATTGAGCCATGGCTCTTGCACATTCAAGGAAAGCACATCCATAATACTTGATTCTTGATTTTATAATGATTAAATGCATTATCATTCATGAGGTTCGTGGGAGAATGCTTGGCATACCAAGTGCTATGAAAACATTGAAATGCCAAGTGCAACTCTAGTACCCCTTGTCTATAATACTAGCTACTCAGGAGGCGGAGATCTGGAGTATTGTTGTTAAAGGCCAGTCTGGGCAGAAAAGTTCACAAGACTTAATTAGTCAAAAGTTAGGCTGGAGGCGTGGATCAAGTGGGAGAACACCAGCCAAGCAAGCAAGCTTAGCAAGAGTACAAGTACTGAAGTATGGGAACTGGCAAAAAAATTAACATGTTTAATAAAAAGTGAGGACTGTAACTTTCCTCATAATTGTGTCTTTTTCACAGAAAGAATAGAGGTGACTGTTGTTAAATGAAAAAAATTGATTACTGTCCATTTGAAGAAATACAAGAGTCATACAAGACTTGAAATGGAAAACTGGTATTTAAGAGAAATGAATGTGACAGAATGAGGAGATCCTGAGACAGATACATAATTTCCTGTTTGGAAACAAAATTGGCATACCAGGCATACTGGTATACCAGTCACCTTTCCCTTTGTCATTTGTCTGCTATTAGATAGGATCATAAGCCAAGCAAGATCCTCAATTCTGAAAGCCTCATTTTTCCCAACAAGGGGTTTTCTATATAATTGCTTTGTGTGTATTGTAGTGCAATCTTGAATTTCACACTTTTGCTTTAGGTTCAACTTAGCCAGCTGTCAGCACGGTTTCAGTAAGACTTGGCCTTATGTTCAGGTTTGATTAAGCTTGCAGCACAACCTTATACCTATAAGGGGAAAATACTGATGGGCAAAAATGAGATTTCCTGCATGACAGTTGGCCTTTAACTCTTAGGAAGTGGAGCAAATCCTGGCCATAAATTAGTTACTAAAGGTTGGCAGGAATAAATGATGTTTGACCCTCAGATAGCAAGGGCTCCCTGTCAGTGGGGAAACCGGTTTTAGCCAGCTGTTTTTTCCTGGTATCTTTCACTTCACTGTGTTCAGAAGCCCATTCAAAGCTACTACAAGTTTCCACTGAGCAGTTTAACTGCTGGTCTCTCAGTGGCATAGAACCCTTTATGTGCACTTTTTATTTGCTGTTGCTTTTATAGATGGGACTTTATTATGTGTACTAATACAGGCAGATTGTTCTGACCAGGGATCCAACCAGCAGGCAGAAAGATGGCTGTTTTTGTCAGTTTTTCATTTTTGTAATTTTGTGTGAGAATGACAATTTAAAGGAGAAATGGTTTGTTTTGGTGCATAATTTCAGAGATTTTAGTTCATAGTCCTTGGCTGCATTGCTTTGGGCCTATGGTGAGGCAGAATATCATGATGGAGAGCATGTGGTAGAACAAAGCAGCTCACCTGGCAGCAGGTAGAAGGCAGAGGGAGAGAAAGGGTCAGAGAACAAAATATATCTTTCCTGTTCATGCCCCTAGTGATCTACTGCCACCCACTAGACTTAGCCTCTTAGATTTCTCTACCTCCCAATAATATGACATCATGTTACAAACGTATCAGGTGATTGATTATGTCAAAGCACTCAGTGTCTATTCAATTTTTCTCAAAGCCCAACAGCTGGCAACCAAGCCCTAAGTACATGAGGCTGCGGGAACCATCCCATTTTCACATCATAACAGTTTGCTCTTAGCCCCACAACAGTTCATATTCTTTTGAATGCAAAATGCGTTCAATCTGTCTCCAAGAGTCCCCCATAGTCTTAACAGTTCCAGCTTTGCTTTTGGTGTCTTATGCCTTAAATCATTGCCCTAACATACATTTTTTATAGCAAAAGGCCAGGTATGCATTATTTTTCTGAAAAATGAATAATCTTGTTACGTTCTGAACAGCAGCATTGCCAATAATGCATTTTTATGGGACATTTACTCCTTCTGTCTTCATCCCTTTTTCATTGGTCTTGTTGAGCCTACAATATCATCTTTCATGTCTCCTTCCCTCTTTGTTTCCCTCAGTTTGTTCTTTCTTTATTTACTGGCTTATTCATGTGTCTTGTATGTAGAAGAGGAAAGATGTCATGAAGGGTGACTTCAGTTAGCAATTAAAAATTATTCTATGTGTCTTTATTACACACACACACACACACACACACACACACACACACACACACACACACACACACACCCCACATGTACATGCACAAACATTTGAACTTCCATGGACAAACTTGTCCTGTTCAAACTAGTTATACTGCAATAATTTGCATTTATTTTGACAAGGGTGCTATTATTCAGAATATTATGGTGTCATCAGAGAGAGATGTTTTTTCCTTTGGAATTTTCTTA